CACGTTGAATCTCACCACCTCGCCATCACCACTGCCACCCCTTATGTATGTATACATCAGACCTATGGCATAATGACGATCGGTACCAACCATAAAACAACTGCCTGCGTTTGGCCTGTGGCACCCTTTGCAACATATTAATCTATCATAAGTTTGTTTGTATTCTGAATGGTCGAAATACGCACGGCCCAGATAATTGAATAGAAGATGGGAAAGCGTCCTATGGGACCAGTAGTGTAATTTTCCAGACGTTTCCAACACTCATGCGAGCCCACTGTAAAGGAATAAAAGGTGTACAACTCACTGGATATTTAGCTCAGCTCTGCCGGGAGTGACATCGAGCTCTGCCATCTATTTGTTTGCGCAACGCGAGATAGGCATATCGATCTTCCTGATGCCTATCTTGCTTTGCGCGAAAAGATTGATGGCAGAGCTCGAGGTCACTCCCGGCAGAGTTGAGCTAAGTATGTATATATGTATATATCAGCACATATGTAGTGTCAGCCAAAATTAAGCTCTAGTGCCGTATAAATCCCATTTTAAGGAAAGGCCTAATCTTCCTTGGATAAAAAATCTGCAGAGAAACCAGTGCTTTTGACCGTGAATAGAGGAAAATTTAGCAAGGACCCTGAAAACAGACTGAAGATTGATAGTTAGCATAATGTAAGCTCTCACGTTTAATCACTTACAAATGACCATATCGTAATTAAGTAATGATTTTGTGCAAATTCTACCTAACAAAGCGGGTCAGTTCAACGGTCATTACAAAACTATTAGCGAGGAAACGTCCGAAAGTGAATGTGTTGTGTGCTGAAGGTCACCGAACACAAGGTGGTTTCTTTTTACACTCCTTCACGAATACTTAGCTACTCCATAGCTAAAAAAGCTGACACCATCACGAAAACGAAAGAAAAACAACAGACTCTTACTTTTTAGTTTTAGCCATCCAATATCCCATCGATCGCGAAATGAATTCTTCCATCCCTGAAGTGAAAAGGAAGACAGATTATGATACATTCCTAGCCGGTCACTGTCAGTTTGTACCCTCCTTTCAGATGCTGGTATTCTAGGTCACCGATATACCCGTCCTGTCAAGGATGAACGCTGTAACCGTACCCTCAGACGACGGCGAGCTAAACTGCGTAACTCCAACTCAATTACGTACACACATAGGGATCCTTGCATTGTCAGATCGAAATATAGTTCATAGGTTAGTGTTCTCTTCCAGTCTTCGAAGATAGTTTGCTATACAAGTTTCTAGGCTCAGC